ACCCACCCAGTGTCCCACATACGCACCGACAGTCCTCCAAAAAGATAACCAACAGGCCACAACCCCAAGAGGCATCAAACCAAACCGCTCGAGACCAAGGAAAAAGAACACTGCATCACACCAGTGTCTGGCAGCTAAACAACTGCTTCGTAGCAGTATGCTCACGATCCAAGACAGCATAGGCTCAAAATTCATACATAATAAATCCGCTCGTGCGCTATCGCCTATGGAGGTAGACGGCCTAAGCCAGGGCCTAGCATTCATCCCAACGCCTGCTGCACCCACTGAACAGAGCATCGTGGCTGCGCTCGCACGTTTTTCGAGAAGTGTGAGATTGACATCACACTTCAAGTCCTGCAAACCAACGCCTCGCTTTCGTATTCGAAACCCTGGTTACCAGCCCAAGCGTGCGTCGGCTGATGTTGAGAGCTACATCGCAGAGGTGGAAGGTAAAATAGTTAAGAACCTTCCGCTAATGACGCGACAAGCCCGCAAAAACATGAGTGAGAGCACGCTACGGAGCCTGAAGAAACTAGGTAAGGATCCGAATATCATCATCAAGCCAGCAGATAAGAACCTAGGATTGGCCCTTATGGACACTTCCTGGTATCGAGCAGAGGCCCACAGGCAACTCTCAGATACCAAAACATACAGTGAGGTCAAGACGGTACCCTTGGATCATCTCTTCGAGCGACTAGACGCCTGGTGCACGGAATACGCTCACAGGTTCCCTAAGGAAACCGTGGAGTATATTCTGGAACCAAGAGTCGAGGATGCGAGGAATGAGTCTGAGCATTTCAGAGTATGCAAATTTTATTTGCTACCTAAGCTGCATAAGACGCCAGTTAAAGGGAGGCCAATATGTTCGTCGACACTCTGGATCTTTGAGCATGCCAGCCAGGTCCTGGATCATTACATGCGTCCCCTGCTGGCGCTAGCGCCGGCACATCTACCTGACTCTATCTCCCTTTTGCACACGATGCGCACACTTCGCATACCCGCACATGCCATTTTCCTTACATACGATGTCGAAAGCCTGTACCCCTCCATACCAATGAAGCAGGGCTTGGAAGCCATAGAAGAAACAACCTGCCTCTAGACCCCCCCCTCAGGGGCCTAGGGAAGAGCCTGTAGCCGGCTCCTTGGTATGCCAGGGATGCTGGGCTGTCGAGAGCTGAGCTTGAACTCACCGCCGGGGTGTACCCGCCGCACCCCCTTAAAAGGGTGTAGTGCCCACTGCAAGGCAGGCCCATTGCCTATTACTGCTTTACACACAGCTTCGTTAGAACTCCTGGGCATTTTTTAGTGTGATAGCCCCACCCACCCCATCGCAGAACAGCCAACACCCCCTATTGGCAACGGGGCATGGACCAGAAAACGCCGCAAATCAGAGGTACGCACTCGACTCCCCACACTCTTGCCACTCACACGCAAACCCACCAAGCTCGCATTCACAGAGAGCGGCACCATGCAGCCCTGAAAATTTCCATCCAAGCACCGCTAGCACCCAACAGTCAGTACCACTCACTACCCCCTTGCTCTCTCACGACGCACCCACCCAGTGTCCCACATACGCACCGACAGTCCTCCAAAAAGATAACCAACAGGCCACAACCCCAAGAGGCATCAAACCAAACCGCTCGAGACCAAGGAAAAAGAACACTGCATCACACCAGTGTCTGGCAGCTAAACAACTGCTTCGTAGCAGTATGCTCACGATCCAAGACAGCATAGGCTCAAAATTCATACATAATAAATCCGCTCGTGCGCTATCGCCTATGGAGGTAGACGGCCTAAGCCAGGGCCTAGCATTCATCCCAACGCCTGCTGCACCCACTGAACAGAGCATCGTGGCTGCGCTCGCACGTTTTTCGAGAAGTGTGAGATTGACATCACACTTCAAGTCCTGCAAACCAACGCCTCGCTTTCGTATTCGAAACCCTGGTTACCAGCCCAAGCGTGCGTCGGCTGATGTTGAGAGCTACATCGCAGAGGTGGAAGGTAAAATAGTTAAGAACCTTCCGCTAATGACGCGACAAGCCCGCAAAAACATGAGTGAGAGCACGCTACGGAGCCTGAAGAAACTAGGTAAGGATCCGAATATCATCATCAAGCCAGCAGATAAGAACCTAGGATTGGCCCTTATGGACACTTCCTGGTATCGAGCAGAGGCCCACAGGCAACTCTCAGATACCAAAACATACAGTGAGGTCAAGACGGTACCCTTGGATCATCTCTTCGAGCGACTAGACGCCTGGTGCACGGAATACGCTCACAGGTTCCCTAAGGAAACCGTGGAGTATATTCTGGAACCAAGAGTCGAGGATGCGAGGAATGAGTCTGAGCATTTCAGAGTATGCAAATTTTATTTGCTACCTAAGCTGCATAAGACGCCAGTTAAAGGGAGGCCAATATGTTCGTCGACACTCTGGATCTTTGAGCATGCCAGCCAGGTCCTGGATCATTACATGCGTCCCCTGCTGGCGCTAGCGCCGGCACATCTACCTGACTCTATCTCCCTTTTGCACACGATGCGCACACTTCGCATACCCGCACATGCCATTTTCCTTACATACGATGTCGAAAGCCTGTACCCCTCCATACCAATGAAGCAGGGCTTGGAAGCCATAGAAGAAACAACAAGACGCTTTATACTGGCACAGGGTCTCCACCTGTACTCCGATCTAGGTATTTCAGCACAGCTGAGAGCCTGCACCGAGCTGCTCCGGCTAGTCATGACTGAAAACCACCTTCAGTTCGACGGCCGGTTCTACCGACAGATCAGAGGGACGGCAATGGGAACACCGGTGGCTGTTATATACGCCGTGTTGTTTATGAGTTGGCTAGAGGGTTTAGGGGCCTCCCCCCCTCAGGGGCCTAGGGAAGAGCCTGTAGCCGGCTCCTTGGTATGCCAGGGATGCTGGGCTGTCGAGAGCTGAGCTTGAACTCACCGCCGGGGTGTACCCGCCGCACCCCCTTAAAAGGGTGTAGTGCCCACTGCAAGGCAGGCCCATTGCCTATTACTGCTTTACACACAGCTTCGTTAGAACTCCTGGGCTAAGTGCCTGTTGAGGGGAGTGCGAAACTGGGTTGGGTGACCTCCTGGGCAAAAATCCGGGAGGGGGCAGTAATGAAAAGGAGGGCGAGTGAAGCTCGAAATGGCTAAGCTGAGGCGTGCCTATAGCCTCTAGGGTCCCGGATACTCTTCCGGGGGGAGCTGCAGCTCTGGCTGTTTGCATTAAATAAACCCTAAACCTGCCTCTAGACCCCCCCCTCAGGGGCCTAGGGAAGAGCCTGTAGCCGGCTCCTTGGTATGCCAGGGATGCTGGGCTGTCGAGAGCTGAGCTTGAACTCACCGCCGGGGTGTACCCGCCGCACCCCCTTAAAAGGGTGTAGTGCCCACTGCAAGGCAGGCCCATTGCCTATTACTGCTTTACACACAGCTTCGTTAGAACTCCTGGGCATTTTTTAGTGTGATAGCCCCACCCACCCCATCGCAGAACAGCCAACACCCCCTATTGGCAACGGGGCATGGACCAGAAAACGCCGCAAATCAGAGGTACGCACTCGACTCCCCACACTCTTGCCACTCACACGCAAACCCACCAAGCTCGCATTCACAGAGAGCGGCACCATGCAGCCCTGAAAATTTCCATCCAAGCACCGCTAGCACCCAACAGTCAGTACCACTCACTACCCCCTTGCTCTCTCACGACGCACCCACCCAGTGTCCCACATACGCACCGACAGTCCTCCAAAAAGATAACCAACAGGCCACAACCCCAAGAGGCATCAAACCAAACCGCTCGAGACCAAGGAAAAAGAACACTGCATCACACCAGTGTCTGGCAGCTAAACAACTGCTTCGTAGCAGTATGCTCACGATCCAAGACAGCATAGGCTCAAAATTCATACATAATAAATCCGCTCGTGCGCTATCGCCTATGGAGGTAGACGGCCTAAGCCAGGGCCTAGCATTCATCCCAACGCCTGCTGCACCCACTGAACAGAGCATCGTGGCTGCGCTCGCACGTTTTTCGAGAAGTGTGAGATTGACATCACACTTCAAGTCCTGCAAACCAACGCCTCGCTTTCGTATTCGAAACCCTGGTTACCAGCCCAAGCGTGCGTCGGCTGATGTTGAGAGCTACATCGCAGAGGTGGAAGGTAAAATAGTTAAGAACCTTCCGCTAATGACGCGACAAGCCCGCAAAAACATGAGTGAGAGCACGCTACGGAGCCTGAAGAAACTAGGTAAGGATCCGAATATCATCATCAAGCCAGCAGATAAGAACCTAGGATTGGCCCTTATGGACACTTCCTGGTATCGAGCAGAGGCCCACAGGCAACTCTCAGATACCAAAACATACAGTGAGGTCAAGACGGTACCCTTGGATCATCTCTTCGAGCGACTAGACGCCTGGTGCACGGAATACGCTCACAGGTTCCCTAAGGAAACCGTGGAGTATATTCTGGAACCAAGAGTCGAGGATGCGAGGAATGAGTCTGAGCATTTCAGAGTATGCAAATTTTATTTGCTACCTAAGCTGCATAAGACGCCAGTTAAAGGGAGGCCAATATGTTCGTCGACACTCTGGATCTTTGAGCATGCCAGCCAGGTCCTGGATCATTACATGCGTCCCCTGCTGGCGCTAGCGCCGGCACATCTACCTGACTCTATCTCCCTTTTGCACACGATGCGCACACTTCGCATACCCGCACATGCCATTTTCCTTACATACGATGTCGAAAGCCTGTACCCCTCCATACCAATGAAGCAGGGCTTGGAAGCCATAGAAGAAACAACAAGACGCTTTATACTGGCACAGGGTCTCCACCTGTACTCCGATCTAGGTATTTCAGCACAGCTGAGAGCCTGCACCGAGCTGCTCCGGCTAGTCATGACTGAAAACCACCTTCAGTTCGACGGCCGGTTCTACCGACAGATCAGAGGGACGGCAATGGGAACACCGGTGGCTGTTATATACGCCGTGTTGTTTATGAGTTGGCTAGACACTCGAATGGAGGAGCTACACCCGGCCCTGTGTGAACATGTGCTGCTGCACAAGCGGTACATCGACGATGGGGTTGTGGTCTGGACGGGCTCGCTCGCGGACCTACACAGATGGATTGAGGGGTACAACAACCTACTAGAGGGCATCTCCATCACGACTGAGATCAGCACGACCACATTCACACTCCTCGACATCACCTTCCGGAAAGGTACGCTGTGGGAGACGACCGGGAAGGAAAATGTGCAAGGGGGGTTCTTGGACACCTCGGTGTACCAAAAACCTCTCAATGCGTATCAGTACTTTCCGTTCCGATCGGCACACCCTCGACACTGCAAGCGGGGCTTCATTATTGGTGAGCTATATCGCTACCTCTTGAGGGAGTCTTCTGAGGATGGCTTTCAGCAGATGAAGTCCCGTTTTGCAGCTCGGTTACAAGCACGCGGGTACCACGCTACCTTTATCGACAAGGTCTTCAGCGAGGTCACGTACGCCGACAGAGCTACACTGCTGCAGAAGTCGGAGAAAGGTAAGCAAAAGGACAGTCGAGTGCTACCATTCGTGCTCGAGTACCACCCGAGTCTAGAGCACCCCGCCCTGAGGTCTATTCTCCGCTCGGAGTCGAGCGAGGAGACCCTCAAAACTCTATGTCCAACGCCACCTTTCTTCTGTTTCAAAGCGGCACCCAAACTCCGAAGCATGCTTGTACGCGCCGCTTTCACGAGCACGACGACCGCAGGTATGTCAGAGAGTAGCACCTCTTGAGCACGACCGGCACACCCTCGCTATCACAGACATCACTATCACTCGACATGCACATCATCCTCACCAAACACGCACGCTTCAGAATACAAAAAAAAAACGATCGGGGGGGCTGCGCCACCCCGAACCCCCCCCCCCCCCCCCACCCCCCCCCCCCCCCCCCCCCCCCGCTTTAAGTGACCCCATCCGCATACACGAGTATCAATACCACCGCGTGCTGTAGCTATACTATGGCTACAGCATTGCCTGCAGATACGGCCTACGCTGCAGGCTACACCTGCCTTGGCGGTGCCTCTGCTGCTCTGGTCGCATGTGTCTCTGCCGCTATCCCCCAGGCTGGGAATTTGTCTCGCCACAGTCGATGACGCTACAGTAAGTATTGCTGCCTTGTTGTTCATGTAGCCCCGAAACCCTGCCCCGATGCTCGTCTCATCCCCCCTCTCCCTCCATTCCTCCCCCACCCCCCATTTGACCCCACGCAGGTTGCCAGGATACTAATGACCTTCCTGTGTTCTCTGTGTTCCCCCCCCATGCATATCACCACTGCACACCAGCACTACCACAACGACCATCACTGCACACCAATACGCTCACATCTGCATTCATAAAGCCGCTCACCCCAATTCGACTGAGACCTTGTTCGCATGCGACACTCATGCCACACTCATGGCATCGTTGCATATCATGCGTCGCTGGTGCACAGTCATATGTCGGGATGTACAGGCACATGGACAGACACGACAGCACACTGCACGGACCACGTCACGCTTGCGCGCACCTAGGCGGGTTGTGACTACCGAGCACAATTACCTTTACCCTGTGTTTTTCCTCCTATCCCCCCTTCTAGCACCCTTCTCGCTGTACGCCCCTTTCGCACCCACCGATTTCCATATTTGACATATGCGCAGGTGCTACATTCCCAAGAACTCACTGCATTAATTTTGCCGACAAGAAATGGTTACTTTCAGTTTTATCTGCACCATATGATGCCATAAAATTGTTAGTTTCAATTTTCTAAGTTGGTATTTTAGTGTAGCAGCTACTACAGGGGATAGCCCTTCCCTCCCAACTCTCTCTTTCATTTCTTAGGTTAGGATTTCGACACTCTGGGGTTTGTTAGCACTGATGATGGCCTTACTGGCCGAAATGCATTTGCGTTTTTTCAGTCCCCAAGCCCCAGGCACGTTTTCCTAGCTTAAAATAGAGAGAAGCAGCATAGGCTCAAAATTCATACATAATAAATCCGCTCGTGCGCTATCGCCTATGGAGGTAGACGGCCTAAGCCAGGGCCTAGCATTCATCCCAACGCCTGCTGCACCCACTGAACAGAGCATCGTGGCTGCGCTCGCACGTTTTTCGAGAAGTGTGAGATTGACATCACACTTCAAGTCCTGCAAACCAACGCCTCGCTTTCGTATTCGAAACCCTGGTTACCAGCCCAAGCGTGCGTCGGCTGATGTTGAGAGCTACATCGCAGAGGTGGAAGGTAAAATAGTTAAGAACCTTCCGCTAATGACGCGACAAGCCCGCAAAAACATGAGTGAGAGCACGCTACGGAGCCTGAAGAAACTAGGTAAGGATCCGAATATCATCATCAAGCCAGCAGATAAGAACCTAGGATTGGCCCTTATGGACACTTCCTGGTATCGAGCAGAGGCCCACAGGCAACTCTCAGATACCAAAACATACAGTGAGGTCAAGACGGTACCCTTGGATCATCTCTTCGAGCGACTAGACGCCTGGTGCACGGAATACGCTCACAGGTTCCCTAAGGAAACCGTGGAGTATATTCTGGAACCAAGAGTCGAGGATGCGAGGAATGAGTCTGAGCATTTCAGAGTATGCAAATTTTATTTGCTACCTAAGCTGCATAAGACGCCAGTTAAAGGGAGGCCAATATGTTCGTCGACACTCTGGATCTTTGAGCATGCCAGCCAGGTCCTGGATCATTACATGCGTCCCCTGCTGGCGCTAGCGCCGGCACATCTACCTGACTCTATCTCCCTTTTGCACACGATGCGCACACTTCGCATACCCGCACATGCCATTTTCCTTACATACGATGTCGAAAGCCTGTACCCCTCCATACCAATGAAGCAGGGCTTGGAAGCCATAGAAGAAACAACAAGACGCTTTATACTGGCACAGGGTCTCCACCTGTACTCCGATCTAGGTATTTCAGCACAGCTGAGAGCCTGCACCGAGCTGCTCCGGCTAGTCATGACTGAAAACCACCTTCAGTTCGACGGCCGGTTCTACCGACAGATCAGAGGGACGGCAATGGGAACACCGGTGGCTGTTATATACGCCGTGTTGTTTATGAGTTGGCTAGAGGGTTTAGGGGCCTCCCCCCCTCAGGGGCCTAGGGAAGAGCCTGTAGCCGGCTCCTTGGTATGCCAGGGATGCTGGGCTGTCGAGAGCTGAGCTTGAACTCACCGCCGGGGTGTACCCGCCGCACCCCCTTAAAAGGGTGTAGTGCCCACTGCAAGGCAGGCCCATTGCCTATTACTGCTTTACACACAGCTTCGTTAGAACTCCTGGGCTAAGTGCCTGTTGAGGGGAGTGCGAAACTGGGTTGGGTGACCTCCTGGGCAAAAATCCGGGAGGGGGCAGTAATGAAAAGGAGGGCGAGTGAAGCTCGAAATGGCTAAGCTGAGGCGTGCCTATAGCCTCTAGGGTCCCGGATACTCTTCCGGGGGGAGCTGCAGCTCTGGCTGTTTGCATTAAATAAACCCTAAACCTGCCTCTAGACCCCCCCCTCAGGGGCCTAGGGAAGAGCCTGTAGCCGGCTCCTTGGTATGCCAGGGATGCTGGGCTGTCGAGAGCTGAGCTTGAACTCACCGCCGGGGTGTACCCGCCGCACCCCCTTAAAAGGGTGTAGTGCCCACTGCAAGGCAGGCCCATTGCCTATTACTGCTTTACACACAGCTTCGTTAGAACTCCTGGGCATTTTTTAGTGTGATAGCCCCACCCACCCCATCGCAGAACAGCCAACACCCCCTATTGGCAACGGGGCATGGACCAGAAAACGCCGCAAATCAGAGGTACGCACTCGACTCCCCACACTCTTGCCACTCACACGCAAACCCACCAAGCTCGCATTCACAGAGAGCGGCACCATGCAGCCCTGAAAATTTCCATCCAAGCACCGCTAGCACCCAACAGTCAGTACCACTCACTACCCCCTTGCTCTCTCACGACGCACCCACCCAGTGTCCCACATACGCACCGACAGTCCTCCAAAAAGATAACCAACAGGCCACAACCCAAGAGGCATCAAACCAAACCGCTCGAGACCAAGGAAAAAGAACACTGCATCACACCAGTGTCTGGCAGCTAAACAACTGCTTCGTAGCAGTATGCTCACGATCCAAGACAGCATAGGCTCAAAATTCATACATAATAAATCCGCTCGTGCGCTATCGCCTATGGAGGTAGACGGCCTAAGCCAGGGCCTAGCATTCATCCCAACGCCTGCTGCACCCACTGAACAGAGCATCGTGGCTGCGCTCGCACGTTTTTCGAGAAGTGTGAGATTGACATCACACTTCAAGTCCTGCAAACCAACGCCTCGCTTTCGTATTCGAAACCCTGGTTACCAGCCCAAGCGTGCGTCGGCTGATGTTGAGAGCTACATCGCAGAGGTGGAAGGTAAAATAGTTAAGAACCTTCCGCTAATGACGCGACAAGCCCGCAAAAACATGAGTGAGAGCACGCTACGGAGCCTGAAGAAACTAGGTAAGGATCCGAATATCATCATCAAGCCAGCAGATAAGAACCTAGGATTGGCCCTTATGGACACTTCCTGGTATCGAGCAGAGGCCCACAGGCAACTCTCAGATACCAAAACATACAGTGAGGTCAAGACGGTACCCTTGGATCATCTCTTCGAGCGACTAGACGCCTGGTGCACGGAATACGCTCACAGGTTCCCTAAGGAAACCGTGGAGTATATTCTGGAACCAAGAGTCGAGGATGCGAGGAATGAGTCTGAGCATTTCAGAGTATGCAAATTTTATTTGCTACCTAAGCTGCATAAGACGCCAGTTAAAGGGAGGCCAATATGTTCGTCGACACTCTGGATCTTTGAGCATGCCAGCCAGGTCCTGGATCATTACATGCGTCCCCTGCTGGCGCTAGCGCCGGCACATCTACCTGACTCTATCTCCCTTTTGCACACGATGCGCACACTTCGCATACCCGCACATGCCATTTTCCTTACATACGATGTCGAAAGCCTGTACCCCTCCATACCAATGAAGCAGGGCTTGGAAGCCATAGAAGAAACAACAAGACGCTTTATACTGGCACAGGGTCTCCACCTGTACTCCGATCTAGGTATTTCAGCACAGCTGAGAGCCTGCACCGAGCTGCTCCGGCTAGTCATGACTGAAAACCACCTTCAGTTCGACGGCCGGTTCTACCGACAGATCAGAGGGACGGCAATGGGAACACCGGTGGCTGTTATATACGCCGTGTTGTTTATGAGTTGGCTAGACACTCGAATGGAGGAGCTACACCCGGCCCTGTGTGAACATGTGCTGCTGCACAAGCGGTACATCGACGATGGGGTTGTGGTCTGGACGGGCTCGCTCGCGGACCTACACAGATGGATTGAGGGGTACAACAACCTACTAGAGGGCATCTCCATCACGACTGAGATCAGCACGACCACATTCACACTCCTCGACATCACCTTCCGGAAAGGTACGCTGTGGGAGACGACCGGGAAGGAAAATGTGCAAGGGGGGTTCTTGGACACCTCGGTGTACCAAAAACCTCTCAATGCGTATCAGTACTTTCCGTTCCGATCGGCACACCCTCGACACTGCAAGCGGGGCTTCATTATTGGTGAGCTATATCGCTACCTCTTGAGGGAGTCTTCTGAGGATGGCTTTCAGCAGATGAAGTCCCGTTTTGCAGCTCGGTTACAAGCACGCGGGTACCACGCTACCTTTATGAAAAGGAGGGCGAGTGAAGCTCGAAATGGCTAAGCTGAGGCGTGCCTATAGCCTCTAGGGTCCCGGATACTCTTCCGGGGGGAGCTGCAGCTCTGGCTGTTTGCATTAAATAAACCCTAAACCTGCCTCTAGACCCCCCCCTCAGGGGCCTAGGGAAGAGCCTGTAGCCGGCTCCTTGGTATGCCAGGGATGCTGGGCTGTCGAGAGCTGAGCTTGAACTCACCGCCGGGGTGTACCCGCCGCACCCCCTTAAAAGGGTGTA